AAAAAAAGTTTCGTACAAAAGTTGTTTAAAAGACAATTATAAACAAAAAAATTATCTTATATTTTTTCATTTAAACAAATATTTTTCGAGTTACATTACATTTAATATGAGTACTAAAATTTATATTCCATTTTTTTTCATTTTACGGTTACTTTTATCATTACATTAGACACAATGTTATAAATGCATATGTGTGTATGTGTGAGTTTATTTATTTATTGTATCATTAAAGTGTAGTGTTGCAGCTGCAACATAATAGTGTGTTGTTAACTTAAAAGTGTGTACTCGGACCGGTTTAATCATTATCACGCGACTACTCCCTACTACTCAAGTAGTAGTGGATATCGCTACTACCGGCCGATCAGCTGTTCACACACTACANCGGCAGATCAGCTGTTCACACACTACAAACCAAACACAACACATAACCGCAATAAAGTATAATACAACATTGTATTGCGTAATAATCAGTATATATACATTTTTGGTTTTCTATTGTTGAATTTCTCATTTCTTTTTTTTGTGTGAAAACGTAATCTAATTTTTGTAAAAAGAAGAAGTTATTTTAATATCATAGAATTGATAATATACAGTTTAAATAAAAAATATTGTTGCACTAACTGTGACTTCTTTAAGCTACTAATTGGCTGACAGAAGAACTTATTGTAGTTTGTTGCTACTAATTAGCAAAATTAAGCTAGTCAATTGTGATATTTAAATTTGAGTTACCAAATTGTAGTCTTAAGTTCATTTGTTATTATTGTGATTCGTGTTTTAGTTTTAGGTAGCATCTCTGGCCAGCAGCTCTGCGAATTGTGAGTACCATTGTTATTTATGTATTATTCATTTTTGTTTTCTTTTTCTCAATTTAGCNTTTTTATGTATTATTCATTTTTGTTTTCTTTTTCTCAATTTAGCGTTGTTATTATTGAATTAAATTTTGTTTATTATAATTATTGAACTGATTTAGTGCTGTCATTGAAGTTGTAGAGTTATTTTTTGTCATTATTCTGTTATATTTTTAGAGTTCATATTTTCATTATTATTTGTTGAGCCAGAAGGGCTATATTCATCTAGTCAACTCATTTATTAAATTATTATTATTAATTATTATAAAGTTTTTGTTGAGATATTTATTTATTTAGTTAATTAAGTACACACAAAACAATTACCCACTAACACATCTGTCACTACATAGATCACTGGTTGATGCGCAGGCGACCCCTCCCACCTCCAGTGATTCTAGTTACATACATCACACTACGCAGCCTGATCGGCATTGGTGCAATTAGCCGGTTCGGGTACGCACTACANAATGTTATAAATGCATATGTGTGTATGTGTGAGTTTATTTATTTATTGTATCATTAAAGTGTAGTGTATATTAATATACAAGCGATAGAGTAGGTAATTGATTTGACGCTATATTGTTTAAACCCAACTAAACGCTGAATTGTACATTCCCAAACAACAGTCATATTATGTCAATTGCCACCGGAATTTCTGGTAATATTTTTCTTTGTCTTAATCCCAACTACTTGGGGTCGGCCAAACAATCTAAGTCTATTTTCTCTCATCTTATCCACGATTGACGCAACACCTATACTTCCTCTTATATACTCGTTCCTTATCCTATCTTCTTTAGTCACTCCACTCATTTAAATAAGCATTCTCATCTCTGCTACACTTATTCTCTGCTCTACTTTCTTATCAACCGCCCAACACTATGAACCATACATCATAGCTGGCCTCACAATTTCATACTGAATTTAAAAACTATAATTAGTATTTATTCATATAATATATTTTAAAATCAAAGAACTACTAATCAGGATATAATTAAAGAAATAAGAGTTGATGTTGCTTTTGGAATAATCCACCAATTTCTCTAAATGAAACACTATCTACAGATTTGCATCGAAGCGTTTCTTATGATAGTGATTTTATTCACTGTCAGATATCATCTATGCCTCTTCCACACTGTGCCTCGACACCACTGTGCTACCATTTTTTTTTATTGATCTTATTAAAATAAAAAGAGAAGTAAATTGATGTATAATTCTTTTTTTGTTGTATAAGTATTAATAATTACCTAGATTTTCATAGATACTTTATTAATAATTAATAAATCATTTATTAATATTATAAATTTCATATCCAAATGCTAACTGTTCTGATGTACCCCAGTCTCATTTAAAAATAATAATTGAGGTTAAACCGTGCTAAGTCTTTGATAGGCAATTTTTAATTTTTATTAGCAACAAATATGTATTGAACATGTTGGAATAATCTATTTTCAAAATAAGACAGCTGAACTAAAGCTTTTTCTGGTTAATAATAACATGTGGCAATAAATACCAATATAAAATAATTAATAGTCTCTATCACACTAACACTTAAAAATCTGATGTATTTGTAATCATATATTTTTATGATCTAAGGCTGTTAAGATTTCATAATACTTTATATACATATCCTGGAAATAAAATAAATTATTTATTAAAATAAAAGATTATTATTAATTCCGTACTTGAAATATGACTATAAATAAATGCTTACCTTAAATTAAATGAGAATTAGAAATATGTTCTTCAAATCGAATGCATTTAAAATTCCATAATGAATTGTTTCATTGATATGTATACACATAAATATGTAAGCATCTTATGAATTAATTTAAATAGAACTTATTAAGTGTCAACGCAGTGATTTCTAATTATGAAAAATACATAACTTTTCAATTAAACACACACTTTTCAAACTGTGTACACAACCATGTGACAGATCATTGTTGACAAGCGACGATCTAATATAGTCATTCATTGTTTGTATAAGTTTGTAACAACTTGTTAACTAATAAAAATCAAAAAATTCTTATTGATTACGTCATAAAGGTTTTTTTTTCAACAACCAACATAGAAATATACCTATGCTTTTACTACAGCATATCGCATTACTAAAAACTGGTAGCGCTTATCTATTTACGACCCATAACGTTCTCGTCTGTTATGATTTTTTCTTAATAAACCCTAAACTATAGAGAGCCGTGGAGCGCTTAATATTTAATAAAATAAAATATTTTTTTTACAAAACATTTTTTTTTATTAAACTAAATCTAATGGTATAAAAAAAAATAGGGTTGCCATTTGAAAATATAAAGTTGACACTATTTTTAAGCATAAGGGATGGTGGTAAAAATTTAAATTTTCTTGTGAAACAGCTCATCAAAGATCCATAATGATTAAAAAAAAAAAATTGTTTATAACTTATATTTTCAGAGATAATTCGTGAGGCATAGTTAGTCAATCACCCTGTATATTACCATAACTTTTAGCTCAATTACAAGTTTAAAATTGACATCTAGGCCAGTCAACAAAGGAAAAATTTCTTAAAAAATGTCCAACCAAATTTTGTTTTGTTAATAGTTGAATTAAAAAATGTATAATGACATACTAATAGTCCTCATTGATTAAATTTGAGCTTTTTTTTTTACAGCATCGCAAAAGTTAAAAAATATGAGCTTTTTTAATTTTCTCAAAAAATAGTTAACCTACAATCTCTCCTCATAACATGACTAAATNCTGTTCTTACAGCTTTCGATTCTTCTTTCCTCATACCATGACTAAACAATCTAAGTCTATTTTCTGTCATCTTATCCACGATTGACGCAACACCTATACTTCCTCTTATATGCTCGTTCCTTATCCTATCTTCTCTAGTCACTCCACTCATCCAACTAAGCATTCTCATCTCTGCTACACTTATTCTCTGCTCTACTTTCTTATCAACCGCCCAACACTATGAACCATACATCATAGCTGGCCTCACAATTTCATACTAAATTTAAAAACTATAATTAGTATTTATTCATATAATATATTTTAAAATCAAAGAACTACTAATCAGGATATAATTAAAGAAATAAGAGTTGATGTTGCTTTTGGAATAATCCACCAATTTCTCTAAATGAAACACTATCTACAGATTTGCATCGAAGCGTTACTTATGATAGTGATTTTAATCACTGTCAGATATCATCTAAACTTGTCCTATCTATGCCTCGTCCACACTGTGCCTCGACCCCACTATGCTACCGTTTCTTTAAACTATATTTATTTTTTACTTTTTAGTTTCATGTTATGATAGTAGTTACTATCAATATCATGGTTGTAACGGGTAACGGGAAATCAGGGTTCGATTCCGGAGAGGGAGTCTAAGAAACGGCTACCACATCCAAGGAAAGCAGCAGGCGCGTAAATTACCCACTTCCGGAACATGGTGGTAGTGACGAAAAATGACGATACTGGAATCATCCTTTGTAATCGGAATGAATGCACTCTATATCCCTTAATGAGAATAAAGTGTGTTAATATATATTTTTAATAGTAATTAGAATATATATTGTAGTAAATAGCTGAATAACGTCGATTTTAGTATAATACGGGGTTTAAGGCAATAGTAAGCAATTTTAAAATTCTCAAGCAATACAGTGGTGTCATATAGAAGGGAAATTCAGGGTAAGCAAATTAATAATGGTGGGAAAAAGAATATAAAAGGGAAACATGAAAAGGATGGTGGACGATACTGGGCAAGACGGGACTGGACGTTTTGTCGAAGAAACGTCGAGTTACGAGTTAGGTCGTTGGTGTAAGAATAACTTTATATTTTTGTAAGATTTAATTAATTTTTGTGTTAAATTTTTATATTATATTTGACTTTGTGTTTAATACGTTTATTAAATAAAATAACTATTTAAAAATCTGGGCTTAGCGCAAATATTTTATATTCACCGTGTTCTTAGAATTTGTGTGTGTGTGTGCGGCTAGAGTGTAGGTTGGACTGCTGGTCCTTTAGTCAATCTTAATAATTAGTGTACGAGCTGTCTAGTTTTTAAGCTTAACTGTCCTTTAGATAGTATAGTAAAAAAGTAGTTGTGCTGGTGGCTGACAAGGAGCCACCCTTCAGTCTGCTACTTTTGAGCTAGACTGTGCTGACGGGTCTAAACTCTACCCCTTTAGTAGTCCACTAATTAGAGGGATTGGGGCTGATCAGTTTATCCAACGGGAGGACTCGAGAAGAGCTCGAACGACGAACATTAATAAATTTGTGTTAAACTTTTGTGTCTACGTTGGGGCACTACCGACGAACGACAATATACATGTAAAGCGACTTAACTACGTAAACGTATCATGCACAAGGTATAGCTGTGTTTTGTGGGCGGGTGAGGCGCGGGGGAACGTTGTACGTGAGGCATATGCGGTGGCTGTAGGAATATATATAAATATATACACATACATACATACATATATAAATATATAATAATATAAGTAAGGCGACATAAATACGTAAACGTATCATGCACAGGGTATAGCCGTGTTTTGTGGGCGGGGGGAACGTTATACCTAAGGTATAAACGGCGGCAGCGGCGGTAGGAATATATAAGAATATATACGTAAGGCGCATTACATGCAAGTGGTATTGGTCAGTCAAAATAAAAATTTTTGTATATATATATATATATATAATTAATGACACGCACGCTTGTACGGGTACGAAAACCAAAAATATAAAATTATACAGGATTAGTGTTGCCGACGATTGGTGAGGGGGGTGGGGTGAATGCGTTACGACAGTATAGTCTCAAGGTCATACAAGACGGGATACGCGACATAATAACACGTGCCGCGTGGAGTTACAAACTTACAAACGACAAACAACATACATGTGAAACTAATATAAGCCTGTTAAAAATGATCTAAAATTTTACATTTACGATTATTATCGTATTTGGATAATTCAAAGTATCATCAAAAATCAACATTTTTCTCACTGTAATATGTAGCATTATTAATAAAATACATATTTTTTTTATATTGTGAATTATACTTTTTAATAATAAACTTAATATAAATAACATAGTTATTAATAATTATTTTTTAATTAATATTTATATTAATATTGTAAACACAAGAAAAAGTCAATTAAAATATTAAACTAGACCAAAAAATTTTTAAAGCATATGAGTTAACATAATAAAACGATAAATTTATATTATTATTTATTAGTTATTTAGAAAACTTTCATCTAAAGATTTATAAATATTCATTTTAATACCAATTCTGAAAATTTAAATAACATTTTCATTAGTAAATTTTTATTTTTATTATTAGTTGTCATTTAATATATTACTTTTCGAATTCATTAGCTGTTTCTTCAATTTTTATAGTAGGACATACCATTACAGTTATGGAAGATTGTGGATTGAATAATGGTATCACATATTTTCTGCCTATTTCAGAAAGATCTTCAAGTTTTACTAGTGATATTTTTTTAACAAGTTCCCTAAAGATAATAATTTATTTTTCAAATATTTCATTAAAATAAGTATAAATATTACTGGTAATAAGTTTGTTTCAAATTTCGGAAATGTAACAAAATTGATTGTGAAGATAATGTACTCATTGTACTCTTAATTATATCAAATGTGACAGAACATTTTGCTGACTCAAACAGTGTTTGATCCCAAGAAAATCCAGTCGATAAATGTTTATCCTAAAATCATAGAAAAATAACAATACAAAATGTTTTTTATAAAACTAATAAATTATAACGAAACAATAATTTATGTAGTATAAAATTTATTTAATATTAATATTATATTAATTTAATATGGAGGTTTTCATACAACATTTAAATTATTTTTATCCATCGATTAAATTCACATATGATTAAGAAGTAGAGGGAAAATTGCCTTTTTTAGATTTATTAGTTAAAAAGACAGAGGGGGAACTAAATTTTGAAATTTATCGGAAAAACACGCACACGTTCAGACATATTCCGAACACATCAAACCACACCTGGCAACACAAATTGGCAGCTTTTATTAGTATGGTTTACAGACTAATTAATATTCCGATGAATAAAATAGATTTTAATAAAGAAATGGTGGTTATAAAATAAATAGCTAGATTTAATGGGTATAACGAAAACATAACTTCAAAATTAGACCGAACACAAAAGTGGAAAAAAGAAAGGAGTGCATCTAGTACACTCACTAGCGTGGAGGAATAAAAAGTAATTAGATCACCAATTTTACATTATCCGGGCATATCAAATGGACTAACTAGAATGTTTAAGAATTATGGTATTACTTTAATAACATCTAAGAGTAATAATTTAAGAGATTTATTAGGTAACCCTAAAAATAAGGTAGAAGAAGGGGAGAAATCAGGCATTTATAAAATACAATGTGAAAGTTGTAATAAATGTTATGTAAGACAAACAAAAATAAATATAAGGAGTCATGTTTAAAAAGCACTTAAGAAATATTAAAAATCAAAGAGTTGAGAAATCACCAGTGGCTGAACATTTATTGAAACATAATCACCCTCATTAAAACCATAAAACTAATTAAAAACGTTAATAATTACAAAGAACTTAATATTAGGGAGGCAATAGAAATGTTTAAAAATAAAAAAAATTAAATTAATTGAGATCTTGGCCCACTGAAAAATTCATTATTACATTTGTGTTAACTGGCAAAATGTAATAATATTACTTAGTGATGACGTCACTAGGTGTATATGAGGGAGTTTTTTCTAGTCGGGATGTCAGTATGTGTTCAGCGTTGATAATGGTAACATTGTTTCCAAAATACATATCTGCGACTTTTCAGTAATTTTTGTGGTTTTTGAGTTTAATATTTTTTAGTTTTTAAATTAATAATATTTTTAATATAGTTTTAATTTTACTTCATTAATTAGCCACAAGTAATTTTTATTATATAGATATTGGTTTATTTAAATTTCTTATATATATATATTTTTTCCTTTTGGCTAGTGCTATTGCAGTAGTAATTTAGACATAATTGTGTGTGTTTGTGTCACATATATTAGATTTAAGAAAGAAACTTTTATTAACACTAGAATTATCCGTATCAAAATGTACATTAAAATATGTACTTAAAACATAGGCTTATAACTTTTTGAACATAGGTTCAAACATATGTTAAATTAAAACTTATGGTACATACTTAAGCTAAAAAAATTTGTACTAACGTTTATGTATAAAAGACCGAAGTTAAAAAACATATTATTTTTGTGTTAAAAAATTCGATGAATACAATTTCTTTTAAAAATATATTATAGAAACTTTTCATCTGACATACATTTTTTTAAATACAGACTAATTCCTTATACAGGTGGTGTTCAAAACTTGAAACATACGTATTATAAAAATAATTTTTTCAACGTACCTTTTGAAAATATTCTGTATATACTACGAGCTTTGAAATTTGTAAAATTAAAGCTTATGTTACATACTATATGGTATTAAAAAAATTTATCCCACACACCTTATGTTTGTAGTAAATAGCTGAAAAGGTATTAAATAAACTTCCATATTAGTATAGTGTAATGCTTTTAACACTGTAGTAAGTATCTTTAAATTCTTAAGTAAAATAATAATGTCATATTAAGGAAAAATGCAGGATAAGCAAGTTAACAATGGTGGGAACAAGATTATATAAAGATAAACGAGATAAGTAAAAGGGGATTAATGTATTTAACATCACATAAAACATGTATTTTAACAAGAATCGTCTTGTTTACTGTCAGAATATTTTAGCGATTGAAACTTTGTAAATCGAACGGGATTAATTTTATATTGTATTATATTTTATTTTGTGTTTCTTACATTTTGTACAAAAAAGATTACTGTTCGAAACCTGCACTTGGTATAAATACTTCTTACTTCCTGTGTTGTTAAAATTGTGTGTGTGTGGCTATAGTCAAGGTTGGACTGCTGGTCTTTTAGTCTATCTTAACAGTTAGTGTGCATGTTAGCTAGTTTTTGGCTTAATCATCGTTTAGTAAAAAAGTAGTTGTACAGATGGCTGACGAGGGTTCCTTTTAGTCTATTACTTTTCAGGCCGTCCTGATGGGTCTAAAAACTACACCTTTAGTGGTTCACTAACTGGAATGATTGGGATTGATCATTGCACCCAACGGGAGAAATCGAAAAGAGCCATAATGACGAGTTTGACATTTAAAGTGTTAATTAATTTGTATACTTTATTTGTACCTACGTCACAATACTACCCATGTACAACATTTCCTATACTTAAATGGCCCCGAAGTTAAAAAAAAAAATGTTATTTAGATGTAAAAAATCTTTTTCATATTGTTATAATGTTCTATTTCAATTTTTTTTTTTTAATTTTGACTATATTTTAAAACAAACCGTCATACAGAAGGGTAAATATCCAAATTTAATACCCTCTTTTACAAAAAAAAATAATAATAATAATGATTTAAGTGTAAGCTATAAATATTTTCAAAGTGAAAACAACGAAGCCCCATAGAACTAAACTCTTTGGTGGAAAAATTCGGTATGGCGTGCACACGATGGACTATTATATGGGTGTAGGGCAGTAACTATGCCAACCCTTTTATAACTAAAAATACCTTCGTTGAATTATCAAACTTCATGTTTTTATTAATTTTGTTATCAAATAAATTTGACGCTTACTTAGCATAGTTATCTAAGAAGCGAAAAAATTATGCAAATACATGACCTTACGATCTCTGTATATATATATATATGTATTAATATTTACAACACAATTTTTTTATTAGTTATAAATATTAATTTTTTTTAATTTATACATACTATTATTGATTTAGTAGCTTGGTAAGCAGCTGGTACATTTACAGATTCTGATAAATGTAAGCAAATTTTTCCTTCGCTAATATTTAGATAAATACCACAAACATATGCATAACCTGATTCTTGATTTTCCTTAAAAATAGGTCCCTGTTAAAAAAAAAAAGAAAAATAAGTGATAAATGTATATTTTTAAAGTATTTAATGAAAGGTTACAAAAATATTAATTTTAAATATTGGCCACAATGGATAAATTTTGTAACATTCATAGTATCTAGAAATATTTATAGTATGGGTCTGATTCATAAAGTCGGATTAGATTAGGATAAAAAAAAAATAAGAAAGAACAATGAAGATAATTTTCTTAATTCATCAATTAAAAAGAGAACATTTTAAGTTTTCAAATTTTTATAAGTCATCATAAAAAAACTCAAACAGTATCACAGTGAGGTTTGGCACAGTATGGACGTGGGATAGTTGTGACAAATATAGATAATATCCGACAATGATTAGCATCACTATCATAAGAAACGCTTCAATGCAAATCAGAAGATAGTGTTGAATTCAAAGAAATTAATGAATAATTACAAAAGTAACATTAACTCTTATTTCCTTATTTATATCTTGATTAGTAGTTATTTGATTTTAAAATATAATGTATGAATAAATACTTATTATAGTTATTAAATTTAGTGTGAAATTGATATTCAATAATTTAATATTGTAATTTATATGGATAAATTATAAAAATAATAAAGTAGTTTTATAAATAGATATTTCTATGACAAATGTGTATAAAATTTAAAGGGCTAAATTAAATGCAATAGTTTTCAAAAAAAAATGTTTAAAATATCTACTCAATTGAGCATATTATAAAATTTGAATAATTGTAAAAATGCATTGTTAAATTCAGGTGAAACTAGAAATCATTTTTTTTAGAAATAATTTATATAGCAAGGTGTTACCAAAAAATGTGGATTATAAACTGGTAGTAACCCCCAAAAATAGAGAAAAAAATTAATAAATTACAAAGAAAAAATATTTAATTTTGTAGTTGTAAATATATACTAAGATTCGAAAGTTCAAATTTTTTTATTCCATAATAAAGTATATTACATAAGCTTTACTTTAAGATATTGATAAAAGTTTCAGTATTTCCGGAAAATTTTTAATAGTTAAGTTTTTGTGAAAAAGATATCAAATGATAGATAAATCTCTAATGTAAATATGAATCTAAATAAGATAAAAATAAAATGAGTTAAAAATTGTGTTTCTAACTCAAAAACCTTTGTAAGGTATTTTATAATAAAATAAAATACAAACTATTAGATAAAACTAAACAAGTTTGCTAACTTCAACGAGATTTGTATAGATTGAAGAAACAATCACCCAGATGGTGGAATAATAAATATAGTTTAAAAAAACTAAAACACACGCTTTTAAAGCACATCGAACTAAAAAGTTAAAAATAATTTTTAAAATTAACTTAAAACAATAATGAACGAAAAATACTAGTATTATTGTGATAAAAGCGTCGGACGCTCAATATACGAGAAATATGGCACAAAGCACCCACGCTTTTATCACAATAATACTAGTACTTTTCGTACATTATTGATTTAAGTTAATTTTAAAAATTATTTTTAATTTTTTAGTTTGATGTGCTTTAAAAGCGTGTTTTTTAGTTTTTTTAAACTATATTTATTTTCCTCTTTTTAGTTACATGTTATGATAGTAGTTACTATCAATATCATGGTTGTAACTGGTAACGGGAAATCAGGGTTCGATTCCGGAGAGGGAGTCTGAGAAACGGCTACCACATCCAAGAAAAGTAGCAGGCGCGCAAATTATCCACTTCCAGAACATGGGGGTAGTGAAGAAAAATGACGATATNGATTCCGGAGAGGGAGTCTGAGAAACGGCTACCACATCCAAGAAAAGTAGCAGGCGCGCAAATTATCCACTTCCAGAACATGGAGGTAGTGAAGAAAAATGACGATATGAGAATCATACCCCGTAATCGGAATGAATACACTACATATCTCTTAATGAGAATAAAGTGTATTAATATATAAGTTTTAATAGTAATTAAAAAATATATATATATATACATGTAAAGCGACTTAAGTACGTAAACGTATCATGCACGAGGTATAGCCGTGTTTTGTGGGCGGGCGTGGCGGGGGGAACGTTATACACGAGGTATATACGGCGGCAGCGGCGTCGGCTGTAGGGATATATAAATGAATATTAACATATACGTATAAATATTAATATATATATATTAATATTAGTGGCAATGGTAAGAATATATAATCTTCGCACAATATCGCGGCACTTTTGCTGGCGTCGACGATGCGATGTCCGGCGTGATCCTCGGGCGTCAAAAGGTTAGCAGCGTAGATGACGCCAGTGCGCGAATGCGGATCGATTTGTTGATGTTGTCACTTTGAATACGAGAAGAAGACTACAGTATCATTAACGGCGGGACGTCGTCGGCCGTGCGGCACTTGCCGGACTTTGCACCGCGGCGTAAAACGACGCGGGGCCGTGTCAATCACAATAAAATTTGTTATATATATATATATAATTGATGACAAGCGCGCGTCTACAGGTTGGAAAATATTATTGTCTACGAGTGGTGAGCGGGGTGTGGTGAATGCGTTACGACCGTCTAGTCACAAGGCCGTAGACACGTGCCGCGTGGAAAGTTACAAACATCTCACAACATACAAGTGAAACTAATATAACCATAATGTAATGACTGGAGTTGAGGAGTGTGTGTTGCTTTTTAACACGCTTATATTAGTTTCACATGTATGTTGTTTGTTTGTTTGTTGTATGTTGTAAGTTTGTAACTCCACGCGGCACGTGTTATTATGTCGCGTATCCCGTCGTGTATAACCTTGAGACTAGACTGTCGTAACGCATTCACCCCACCCGACTTACCACTCGCCACCATCAATATTTTCCTGTATATTTTTATTTTTGGTTTTCGTACTCGTATACGCGTGCGTGTCATCAATTATATATATTTTTAACAAATTTTTATTGTGATTGACACGGCCCCGCGTCGTTTCGTTATACACGATGCCCCACGACTGGTGCCACCTTTATCAGCCGTCGCCCTATTTTATGAGTATTTGACTGACCAACACTGCGCGTTATACGTTTACGTACTTAAGTCGCTTTACATGTATATATATATTCTAATTACTATTAAAACTTATATATTAATACGCTTTATTCTCATTAAGAGATATATAGGGTATTTATTCCGATTACAAAGGTGATCCCCGTATCGTCATTTTTCGTCACTACCTCCACGTTGCGCGCCTGCTGCTTTCTTTGAATGTGGTAGCCGTTTCTCAGACTCTCTCTACGGAATCGAACCCTGATTCCCCTTTACCCGTTACAACCATGATATTGATAGTAACTACTATCATAACATGTAACTAAAAAGAGTAAAATAAATATAGTTTAAAAAAACTAAAAAAACACGCTTTTAAAGCACATCGAACTAAAAAGTTAAAAATAATTTTTAAAATAAGCTTAAAACAATAATGAGCGAAAAATACTAGTGTTATTGTGATAAAAGCGTGGGTGCTTTGAGTCATATTTTTTGTATATTGAGCGCCCGACGCTTTAATCACAATAACACTAGTACTTTTCGTTCATTATTGTTTTAAGCTTATTTTAAAAATTATTTTTAACTTTTTAGTTCGATGTACTTTAAAAGCGTGTTTTTTTAGTTTTTTTAAACTATATTTATTTTATCACTAGTCATTTCCTGACCATATTCTTCGTACAGCCTAGGAATAAAATTGAGAATAACTTCCAAAGTACTAGTCCGAAAGTTGTTGTCGACTAGCCATTTTGTTATAGTAGTTATCCAAACTGTTCGCGTTGATGCTCTTTATAATGATTTAATTTTATATGAATCCGTTAAGATGTTATTTAATTTTTTTTTTTTTTACTAATGATATAATGTAATAAATATATTTATATTAATATAATAAATATATTTGAATTTTATCATTAAAATTAACTTAATAAAATTATTCGAGTATTCTACTGCCTTGCAAAGGCGTAATTTATAATTTGTTTCTTTTTTTCTTTTTTAATAGAAATATTATAATTATTATAAAAAAAATTTTTTTTTTCATTAATAAAATGAAAAGTCAAACTTTTTATGTGTTAAAAAAAAATAATAATAATTATTATCTCAATATGCAATATTAATTTGAAATCATGGAAACAAACTTTATATGTTTTTTTAAATGAGCCATACAAGACATTTAAACTGTATAATTGAAGTACAAAAATTAAAAAAAATAAAATAAAATTGGCAGACCCCACGTAGTTGGGATTAAGGCGAGGAAGAAGAAGAATTGAAATACAAAAAATAAAACAGGTACTATCTAAAAAACAAATATTTGATCGACAAATAGATGGTTTCTGGCAACTAAACCATATATAGAATTGAAATAAAACAAAACATTAATTAGGTATAGTACACCTTTTAATTTTCAGCGTAAAGAATGTTAAAATATATTTACTGTTTTAATACATCATATAATTATTAAACTTGCTACTACAAAATGAAAAAAATCTATTTGTTTTGATTAGGGAGTATAGCATTGCCTTTTTCACAATAATTCATAATAATTATGAAAAACATTTAATAAAAATTAAATTTTAATCATTATAATAACATACTTTAAACTGAGAGAAATATTGCAAAAGTACATAAAGAGCAGCTATGTCTGGATGGTTATAATCGCTTATAGAATCAGATACTTGAATGAAATAACTTGATTTAATAAAATCCATTCCAACAATACAAGCTCGAATTCCACATTGGCTTAGAGGTAATATAGAATCAAAGTCAGACTGTGTTTTAAATCTAAAAATTACAATTACAATTTAAAGTAATATTAAATATAATTTCAATACTATAACCCAATTTTTATTACGGATGTACTGATGTCTTTAAATTATTTGGAATAATTTTTTGTAATGCAACAGATGCTTCAGGAATAATATCACATAATTTATCCAAATTACCAGTTATGTGTAATTTAATATTATCTGGATTAGCCAAAAATAATTTTAATTTATTTAAATCTTTATTTACAACTTCCCAACCTTCTTCAGTTTCAATTGTTTTTTGCAAGCTAGTTAAAAACTTATATTGTCTTGAAATATTAAATGCGTAATTATTACTATCTATTTAAAAAAATTAAAATTAACCAAATTTTAACAAAGAATCTAAAATAATAAGTCAAGTGATAAAGTAAATTATTTTAAATGCTTCTCATTTTTTTAACATCTATGCCTCTTACTCTAATTAATTTTTAAAAGAGGAAGAGAAAATTTGTTTAACTTATCAAAGATGTTAAAGAATAATAATATTTATTAATTATAATTTTTTTGTTTAATTCGATTTAAATTCTGCATTTAAACAAGGGTTGCGGAAAACTGCCCCCTGCATCCCGAATTTTATGTGAACAATTTTATTAAACAAGATTAATATTAATACTACATTTATATTTAATCTTTTATGGGTTAGTTTAAATCCTAAATTGTGATAAGCTTTAGTACAAATCGTATCAATATGTGTTTTAAAACTTAAATCATAAGATAAGATTACACACAAATTCTTAACATAATTTAAAATTTCTAGTTCTATGTTATCTATGGAATTATTTATTATTGGATTACAGCAACAATAAAATTATATCTGTCTACACTTGTTGATCAATAAATCATTATTAGTAAATTTATTATGAGATTTTATGACCATAAACAATTTTTAGTCATCAACAAATATTAGATATTGAGGTTAAATAATTTATAAAAAAAAATTAGGAACAAAATGGCAGATAAGTGACTTTCTTGAGGTACTCCAGATGTAACTGTTAAAGGACTTGATAAGCTATTTGATATTTTTACTATCTGAGATCGGTCAACCGGGTATAAAGTGTTATAGAATAACTATATTATGAAACAAACACACTCTTTATTAAGGAACATTGCAAAAAAAAACATACATTTATATGTGTAACACACTAAAAAAAAAATGTTTCACTAGAACCGCCACACAGGCACACACAAACACTTATCTATTATTTCCTTTTTTTCCCCTCCACGAATCATTGATAACATTTGGGCATCCTGACACAATGTCCTCATTAATAATTTCTTAACAATAATCAATATATATATATATATATATATATAAACCATACTTTTTTTTTGAAACAAACATAAATTTTCAAATAATTATTTATACTTAACAAATAAATCACATAAAAAAAACAATTTAATATAATTAACAGTTCATCCTCTTGTCGAACATAATCATTTCAATAACATAAAATCTTTATACATTTTGGGTACTGCAACGTTACGTCTTGGTCTTCCTACTTCTACCGTTGGTTCAGGTTCTTCCGACTCGCTTCCTCCTTCCTCTTTTGTACCGTCATCCACTTGAGTTTGACTGTTGAACGGTTTTAAGAGACTAACATGAGCTGTAGTAGCATACAGTCGACGGTGGATAGGACGCACTGAAGCAATCTTGTAATTATCCCCATCACATACCATAGTTACCACAAGTGGTCCTGTATACTTTTGTTGAAGTTTTGTTTATGTACCAGTGTGAACAGGAGGGCAACGTAGAAACACAATTTTTCCAACTTGAAATTTTGTTTCCACCTTTTGTTTGTCATACCTCTGTTTCCATTTCTGTTGAGCTTCTGCAATGTTCTCTCTGATTCTGGCCTGTGTGTCTACCGGATCTTCGGTTAATGTTGTTACTGTCACGAGTTTGCCTAACAACCCATCTTGTAACATTGGTGAATATCCATACAGAGCTTAAAATGGTGACTTTCCAGTAGTCTTATTAAGCATGTTGTTCAGCTTAAACTCTACTTCTGGTAGTTTTTGGTCCCATGTGGACTTCTTTATCAGTCTCAGTAGTAATTACTGATAATATTATCGAATTGGCTCTCTCACATTGTCCATTTGTTTGTGGATGTCTGATTGACCCCAAATGAATTTCAATTCCTTTATCATGGCAATACTTTCTGAGCTGTTCTAAGGTAAATGCTGTTCCATGGTCACATATGATTCTCCTGGGTAGCCCAAATTGCAAGGGAAATGCTTTAATCGACGTATGACTCCTTAAGTATGGACACTACTTGCTGGAAAAAGCTTGACAAACTTAGTCAAATTATCTGTAAGCACTAACAGATAATTATTTTTCTTTGAACTAGTCGGAAAGGGTCCAAAATGATCAATATGTATCGTCTCAAAGGGCCTCTTCCCTGGTTCAATGGGATGACGTTTTCCCGGTCGCTTTTCACGGGGCGCTTTGTTCACAACACAGGCAGCACACATATTAATGTGATGTTTAACATACCTGCGTAAGGGAGGAAAGTAATACTTCTCTAGTATTTTAGATACTGTTCTGTCTGTTGAGAAATGACCCGTCATATCATGAAACTTAATTACCAAACTTTTGCGCATTGATTTTGGAACCACCCATAGTTTTTTTTTCACCATTTTGCGAAATTATCCGATACAGTGTACCATTGATAATCTCATATTTTGACAAGACTGTCAATGACAGTGCTTCACTAGTTAGTTCTGATATTATAGTTTTTAATTTTGCATCATTGTTTCGCATAGCTACCACATATTCTTCTTCACTCATTGTCACTAATACCTCCAACTTTTCGCTTATTATTTGATCCATAGTCTCACCTGTGCTCGGATCCACAGGAGGTCTTCTTAATGCATCAACATGCTGCATAGCCTCCCCTGGCCTATGACGAACTTCAAAATTGAATTCACTAAGCAAACTTGCCCAACGGGCAATTTGAGGGTTTGTTGTTTTTTGCTGTTCATATGGACCAATGCTTGACAATCTTTAACTACAACAAAATGAATACCCATCAATAAATGTCTTAAATTAGTTAAAGTCCAAACTATTGCCATTAACTCGAGACGGCTCGAATAATATTTACTTTCGGCATCTATCATTTTTTTGGAAACAGCATGCACTAATCGCAGTTTGCAATCAACATCCTATTGCAACAACATACCACTTAATCCTATTGAACTGGCATCACAGTGTACCTCTGTCACTGCACACGGATCATATAGTTTCAGAGTTGGTTCCTCTGTTAATGCATTTTTCAACTGTTGAAACGCTTCTTCTTGTTCATTCTTCCACACATAAACAGCTTCATTTTTAAGTAAATCACTTATCAGTTTAACCTTCTCTGCATATTTGCGAATAAACCGGCGGAAGAAACCCGTTAAACCCAAAATTAAAACCCAACCCAACCCGTTAAACCCATCATGCTTACTTTTTGATGTAGGAAAATCTTTTACAGCGTTAAGTTTATTTCGTCCCGGTTTAATATCAACAGTACTAATATTAAAACCTAAATATGTCACTTCTTTGCATCCAAAGTGGCACTTACGGAATTTTAGTGTTAACTTTCCCTTTTTCAATTCTGTGAACACTAATCTTAATCGTCTCATCATATCACTAAAATCAAATGCTGGTACTAATACATCATCCATGTACCATACTGCTATTTTATTTCTTAGATGTCCCATCATTTGTTGCATTAACTTGCAAAATTTATATGGTGCATTTGCTAACCCAAACACCATTCTCTCGAATTGACTAGTCTCTGTACCTGTTATGAACGCAGTTTTTCTTTTGCAGCTTCAGTCAACGGCACCTGCAGATAACCAGCTGACAAATCTAATGTTGTAAATAAAGTAGATCCGCACAGTGCTTCTAACTGATCATCTATATTTGGCGTAGGAAAAATTTTTTTGACCGTCTGAGCATTTAATCTCCTGCAATCTATCACAAGACGTTGTTCTCCATCTTTCTTTGGCACAAGTAGAATTGGTGATGCATAAGGTGACATAGTTTCAGTCACTAACCCTTCATCTTTCCATTCTTGTACTATGGAGTCAATTGTTGTCCTTTCTGAAGCGCTGACTCTATACGGCTTGCTTACCACTGGCAAAATTGTATCCACAATGTCCATAGTCAAGTAACTAGTACACCCTAACTCTTGTAAACTAAACGCAAAGCATATTCGGAACTCATTTAGCAAATTAACAAGTTCGTTTACTTGTCTCTGGTTGAAATTAGAATTATAGTTGACCATGTCCATAGTAATTTCTTCTAGACCGCCATCCTTCTGAAATTAGTACTTCTTGATTTTTTACCTCCATGCTGTCATCAATGGTTGCTTCTTTCTCAAATGGGAATTCAATTCCATATCCAAAATGTAATCTATTGATTGTTTTTACAAAAGTTACTCCTACCAGGTCTGTAAAATTTCTACCGATTATGATATCATGGTTCTGTTTATTGTCATCCACTACCATAAACTTTAAAGGTTCCTTAACCTCATCAATTTTGACTACAGCCGTAGTTTCCCCACCACTCAGAGTATATTGGCTATTTCCGAATACCATGACGTTAACTGTTTTAGGTACCACTGGTAACTTATATTTATCCACCACACTGCATTTAATAAAAGTATAATCGCTCCCTGTATCTATTAAACCATACACAGTGACAAGTTGGCCGTTAATAGTTATTTCTTTTATATAATTCTGCCGTCGGCTATTATTATTATTTATAACTGTCACTTCCACAGATGTTGCACAATCGCGAGCCATATGTCCTTCTACCGAACACTTAAAGCACTTCCTCGGTCTTTCAGACCTATTACGCTCAAGGTCATATATTCAACCTTATGCTCCACTCGATTATCAGTATTGGCACTATCAGTGGTTTGTAGCTTACTGCTTCTCCAAGAAGCCTTTGGCCACCTATTTTTAGTTTTAGCCTCCTTGTCACTTGCTATCGGTAAGTTTTTGTGTCTGAACCACCTTGGTCTTGTCTTCTCTAAAATTTGAACAATGTCCTCTGCTATTTCTGTTTTGTTCTAAAGAATTACCCGTTTTTGCTGATCTCAGATTAGTCATGCGATACCAGGATGTTAAATCTGACAACAATGCGTCTTCACTGGTGTGCATCCGACCCAATGCATACATCGCTAGCTCCTTCTGATATATGCCTTGAATGAAAAAGTCTCGGATTTCAGCAAATTCCATATGTAATGCCCGACACAATCTTATTATGTCATGGAAATAATCCATCAGATGTTCCTCTCTTCCTTTAACGC